CCCTAACTCAGTTTTCCTAGGCAGTAAAATGCAGTAGAAAAACATTGCTTCTGTGGTGTGAGCTGAGTAAATAAACTTCCATGGGAAGCTGAACAGTGATCATTAAGAGGAAGAGAAAAAAAAAAACACAGCCAGCACTTCATTCAGCGCTGTGATTTGCTGAAGCTGTAAGGCTAAAAGCCTGATGATTTTAACAGGGTAGGATGGAGATAAGGAGTTCTCCTGAAGGGTCTTTGATTCTGGAGCCGACCTTCCCACTCTATTAGTCCTCCCTACAGCATAGACTGTTTTATCTTCAAAAGGTATTCAAACACTTCTCTTTCCAGCTTTTTGGCAGAGGTAATTAACCAAATTTTTAAGATTTCTCTCCGGTGGTGATGTGGACCATATCACTGAGTTGAACATCTTTATTAATAATGGTTTACAACAATTATATGTCCAAATGGACACATTATAAGCACAAAAAAACAACTGCAAATTGTGAATATAAGCTGCATGCAGATTCTCCTTTTGTTTTGCATTTATATCTACATATTCTAATCCATCAAAATGCTGGACTAAAAGATTGTAAAGTAGTTTATCTAAGATCAGCATTGTGCACCACAGCTTTACTTTTCAGAACCCTTTAACTTGATTTTTGTATTGCTTGCATCAGTTTTAGAAAAATGGCGAAGTGTCTTATCTTCGCCCTGCCTTAGATAGCCCTGCTCTTCTCTCTTTTGCTTTAGCATGACAAATCATAAAGCTGTAAGGGACCTCTGAGGGTGAAGAAACTCAAACACTGGAATTTATTTTTCCAGAAATCATTTTTCTTACTGCTCTGCTTGTTACGATGGTAATAGAAACTATTTATAGAGTTTGAATCTGGGCTGTTACCAGGCTTCTGTGCTTTGGCCTGACTGGGTTATCCTTTCCAGTTATCATTTTGTGTAGATTGGGAATTTTTTAGTCATACTGTTCTCAAATAGTGAAAAGACTAGATGAGCAGCTTCTAAACAGCACTTGCTTCATCTCTTTCTGGGTCTTTACTCTGTAAGGAACATAAACAAGTACTAGGATTGAATTAATACTGGTAGTGTGGAGGACTGTCAAAAAGGAATTAATTGATATAATAAGGTTGGACAGGCCTTCTGTAGGACCAGGCTCTTGTTTTCTGAAGAGTCCTTAGCTGTATGAACATCCAGATCAGCAAAGTAGTCTGTCCAAGGAAACCAGTTTGCAGCAAGTTAAGTTTGAAATTATGGTGCAACGGAAATCCTGCTCTAACTACTTATTCAGTATTTTTTAAATAAGAAGTATTCTCCTTTGCTTTGAGCACAAAATAATTTACCTTGTGGGAAGAAACCCTCAGCAGGTGCTAAAAGTGTAGATGCACAGTGAGCTAGTGTGGAAGCCTGACTTCCCCCTGTGTAAAGAAGACTTGCATCTTCAGCCTCCTCCACAAACCCTTACCCTAGAAGAGAAGGTCTCTAAGGAACCCTGTGTGGGTCACTTTGCAAAGTTTCTAGTAAATGTTCTCCATCTTTTATAGGGGTTATTGAGACTATTATGTAGCATTGATATGGGTAATATGCCTAATTCTCTACTGGCTTGAATCCTGTGTAGTCATTGACATCTTCACAAAGAGAGTGCCACTTAAGAATTCTCCACTTTCCTAGAACAGTTATAGGGTTTTGCAATCACATGTACTCTTTACACAAGAATAAATGAGTGAACAGTGTGCAAAGCAGGAGAAAGTCACCCTTATTTTTTTTTTCCTGCTGTGTGAAAGAGAGTCAGTGAGCCAAAATCTAGACTTAATTTCCCCACTAGAAAATTGGGATACTATGCTTATATAGTTGCAATTTCCATACAAGGTAGAACTTGACTCTACTCTTCTTACAAATTACAACCTGAATCAGGATATGAACAGTTCTCATAAGCAGAATCACTTGCAATGATGGCTTAAATAATTTAAATTTGGATTCCTTCATATAGCAGTTAAAAATATAGGTAATCCAGTCTGTCATAGAGTGACTTTCATGTCTGTTCATTTTATTTCACTTTTGATAATTTCTTTTTCTTCATTTAAAATAACTTATGTTTATTTAGATACAGCATACTAGGATCAGGCCCTCCACATCCAAGAATTAACTCATTCTGTCTTGGAAAAGTCAGTTATGGACAACTTCTATGATTTCTTAACACTAGAAACAGTATCCACTAATGTGAGCAGTTGTAGTCCTATTAAAGATATGACAACAGATTAACAGGATTGGGCCTGTAGTTCACCAGGAGCAACAAATCTTGCTGTATTCATCTTCTGAGGTCATTTGGAGGTACAATATTTGAATCTTCTTTCCCAAGGTTACAGAACAGATTAGGTAGAACTGACTCTTACCATTTCAACCACTGATTAAGGTGGGAAGGCAATGGGAGCTTCAGCTGAACGTTCCTCTCCTGGGCTGCTATTAGCCTTTTAAAACCAGGATATTAACCACCTCTCCAAAAGGTCTAAACACTGATTTAGCATGTGGGTGACTCCTGCTGAGGATGCTCACAAACAGGAGAGTATGTGTGTGCAGACAAATAGGATTTTGCCCATACAGACAGTGAACTGGTGCTTCTGCAGTGCGAAAGGATGGTGCAGAGCAGAAGTTTTATAGCTCCACGCATCCTGTGCATACACACATAGCTTTTACATAAAGAGACAAAGATATCTTTATCCACACGACAGATAGACAAACAGACTGACTGACTTCAAACTTGCACTTTCAGTAGGGATTTTTTTTCCCCCCATCTCCGGGTACTGCTTTTCAAAATTGCCTGAGGCTACAGTACAGCACCTCAGATCCCCAAGGCCCATTGCCTGGCTCCTAATAGCCACTCTCCATCTGTGTCACATGAACAGCTGATGAGATAGCTCCAGTGTCTGTATTTTGGAGAGCATATCCACCCAGGTTAAAATGCTGGGGTTGCCAAGGAGCAGTCAGAAGCCATTAGTGTTTGTGAGAATTTGCCTTGCAGCAGTTCCTTGGCATAGTGGAAAGTGTGTGTGTGTGTATGTGTGTGCATGTGTGTGTGTATGTGAGAAAGAGAGAGAGAGGAGAGGGGTAGGGTAGAATATGGGGGGGGAGGGTGCAAGGAAAAGGAGATCTTTCTAAATAACCAACATCTTGCAAAAGTGAACAGTTGGTTACAGTGTATAGGGCTCCTATAAGCTCTTCCATTAGTTTGCTGTGATTCGACTTTCCTTTCTCTATCGGTGACAGAAACAAACAAAAAAAAAAAAAAAAGGAGCATGAGAAAGACAGCAGTGACTTCAGGGTCTTGCTCTGGTGTTTGGGCAGATGGAAAGGAGCTGCTCTGCCTTGGGGCAGGGTGGTTGTAATGAAGTGGCCTGTCAGTCTGTAAATAGTGAGGGTCATCTCTTCCATGTGATGGAGGGTATCACATTGCAGTGAAAATGGAAATGTCAATAAAATTAATCTGCCAGCTCTTTGCTGTGGCTTTTGCCGTCTCTCCGGTCCAAAAGGGTTGGTTTTTCAGAGGGGAGGCAGTGGAAGAAGGGTGATCTGGCACGGGAGGGAAGATGGAGCTGAAATGCAAGTTTTGAAGCAAATGGACTGTATGTAGAAGCAGCGTATTTCGTTTAGTGGCACTACAGAGCTAGACAAGGCTATAGGAATTAGCTCGTGAATCTATAGCATTCCTCAGGAAGCTATGGAGCGTCTAGCTCAGGCTACATTGAGCACAGAGTTTATTGTTTTAGGCTTTCTTGGACAAGGTTTTTACTTAGCATGGGATTTATGGCATTTACTGCTAATGAATGTCTATTCTTAAATTACAAAAACCACCGTCTCAGCACAATTCCCAGATGTCCTTCCAGGACCTCAGCTTCTTAAACACCAGCAGGGAGCATAAACTCTCCACTTCTCTGTTTTCCTCTTTCGTGTGGCTCCGGGCTAATGATGTGTAAGGAAAACACAGCAATCTATAAAGTCTCAGTGCTGTCCCAGTATTCTTCATTTATTTTGCATTTGATTATGCCACAAGTCGGATCTTGTTTCTTTCCTTTTTTTAAAGTTATTAGTTCAAATATTAATGTAGGAATATGGCATATATTGCTGCTCTTGATTGATGCCTTCCCAAAAACAGGAAGACGTGCTCGTATGAATTTTAAGAAAGTAGGGGTCCTGCAATGCCTTGCCAGAAGAGTTTTTCAGATACATAATTTAGATGCCCTCCAGGCAGGCTTTCAAGGCATTTTTGCTGGAGGGCAAGAAAAAATAACTATGACTGTTAAAAGTAAATGATTTTTGCTAATGCACAATTAATGCCAGGGAAAAGCACAGAAGAGAAAGATGTTGATGGAAAGTTCTGATTAAGTGAGAGCTCTACCTTGATGTGCATCTTTTTTTTTTTAATGAAAATAATCACTGATGCAGAGATGTAAAAGTTTTTGTGTCGTGCAAATGCTATATGCAGGGTCATACTAGGCATACGTGTTTGTGCGTGCATATGTCTGTGTGTTGGGAGGTGATGGTTATGGGGAGGGGCTCATCTCACAGTGTGTTATGTGCACTGAACGGTAACATGGTTACTGCCACCTCTGCAGAGGGCCTCGAATATATAGACTACAGAACATTTAACTTGATTACTTACAGTACGTATTCAGAATGGTTGTAGGGATGCATTTACAGTGAATGGGTTTTCTTGTGGCAGGTTTTCCCACATTGAATCCCATAATTGACAAAGAGCTATTGCACTATGTCAAGCACACAATTATAATTGAATTAATGATATATGCATGTGTGAAACTCAAAATTAGTATTTGGAGAGACATGATTTCTAATTTTTACATATTTGTATCAGCACTCATATATAATGAGAAACTGTATGTACCTGATCTAGCAAATCAAAACAAAACTGTGGTAGTGTCTTGGTAATTAATGATACATTTTGGTTTCTACATTTTTTCATTAAATGTCTCCTCCTTTCTGTCTTTATCTTTGTTGTAGGAGATGGTTTAGACAACAGTGTAGCCTCACCTGGTACAGGGGATGACGATGACCCAGACAAGGACAAAAAGCGTCAGAAGAAAAGAGGCATTTTCCCCAAAGTAGCAACAAATATCATGAGAGCATGGCTTTTCCAGCATCTCACAGTAAGTGGTGCCCAAATCCAAAATAGATTTCTATTCATGTGCCTAATGAGGTTTATTCATCATTATTAGAAATCAATTGTCCCCATAATTTTCGAACCATTATTAGGGCTCAATTATTGTTGCTGTTGGTTTTTTTTTTTAATTCTAGATTATTTTTTTTTTCCTTGGCTCTTGGAATCATGACAAATCTGAAAGAAACCTGTATATATATATATATGTATATATATACACACTTACATACCTACAGAGAGAGAGAAAGAGAGAGAGAGTACAAAGCCTTAGCATGGAACAATACCTGCATATAAAGTAACCATTTTTTGCTTTGAACTGTTCAAAATGTTCCTAGGGACAAAAAAGGGTGTTTCTTGCTTTAGTGTATATAAAGCTCTGCCTTCTGGATTCTTTATTGCTGGCCTCTGTTTACACAAACTTCCTGTGCATGTGGTGGAAGAGATCCCCAGTATGTGTGTGCTGACATACACTGTGGATGTTAGGGAAGTCAAAGCAACAGCTTGCAAACTTGTCATTGTTACTTTTTGTGAGAAATATAGAAGTCTTGCCGGTTCCCTAATTCTTCAGTTGCATAACAGAGGCAATAAGCACATTTTTAGCTTATCTTCAAGTCCATTATGTTAAAAGCTAGCCATATTCACATTTGGGGGAGAGAGATTACATATGTGAAAAAGCAATGCTTTCCATGGGCTATCTTTATCCTCCTGCTTGCAATTCTTTTAATGTGTTGGTGTTCTGTTGACTATTATAGCTTCACTTAAGTATCAAAACATGATTCCACAGAAAACCTAGTAACACTCGTTGTAGTTTACTTCATGTGGGAAATAATGGAAACTGGTAAAATTATCAATTGATTTTCCTCTTCCTCTCACTGTAAAATTGTTTCTCACTTGATAAGGCTTAAAATGTTAACTGTTATTAACTACCTCTTCTTCTACCAAAGTTTTATAAATTTCTGTGGTAGCTGATGTTGGTTACAGTGTAATGATTTCAGGACAAGGTACCCGATTTATTTATGGTAGGAACTATCAAACTGCTCCGTTAGCAGCACAGCTAAAGGGGGGAGCAATAGATCCACATTTCTAAACCATCATTTTGATGTAAGGACATTAGTAGCAAACTAAGGTGCATTGATCTGGCCTGTGGGGTCAGGATTAGCTGGAATAGCCAGTGTCTCTGCTGGAGTAGTGGTTATTCCTGCCTCCCAGCTATGGCCATTTCAAAGGTCAGGTGCCCTGTACCCACTTGGCTCAGAGGAATTAGACAGAACATGAGTCTCTGGGCTGATTACTTAACCAAAGACAAAATAATGAGTCCTAAGCAAATACTGACTAATTGAAAGGGCTGTAAATCCATTACATATTGGTCAGGGATAATCAGGAGTATTTAATCACTTTTATCTATTCAGGAGCACTGAAGCTGCAACAGCAAAGCCCTGAACCTTGCCATGTGCTTATTATTCTCATCATTATCAAAATTACTTCACAGCTGTTCTTTGCTACATCACCTCAGCTGGAGATTTACTAACCTGTAAAATGTTTTTAATTTGGAAGTCGAGTGAGTGTGAGTGGAGGGTTTTTCATTTAGCTGTAGGGTATCTTTAGAGTAGTACAAGCAGACAGCAAAAAGCAGGACCACAGATAAACCAGTTTGTTTTGTACATATCTCTGTGTTAATTCCATTTCCTCTTATGAAATTTGTGACAACTTGGTTTTTCTCTCCCTGCCTTCCCTTCTCACGTGCTCCTTGAAAGCATTCGACACATGCTTATTAAACAGTCAACTGCCTCTTGCTTCTCTTGAGGAAAGTCCTCCTGGCTTTTTGAAATCCCTTTTCCTTGTTTCCAGCCTCTCTCTCCTGACCCTCTCCATCCTGCATGAATTGAGGAAATTTGCCATCACTAGCGAGGATGGCCTCGCAAAAATCAAATTAAATGAACACAAAAAAGCCCCAAACCTTTTACCGTCCAAGCTTTAATGAGTTTGCAGGTGTTGAAAGATTTACTGTGCTGTAATTCTCAGACCTGCAAACTGATAATGGAGACCCCTGACCAGTGCAATGTAAATTCAGAAAGATTCTTGCCATAAACACATACAGGGAAGCAAGAGAACCCCTTTCTTTTAAAGATCTCGCACTTTTTCTCAAATTGGTTTGTCCATTCAATGTGCAACGCTGGCTGAGCCAGAACAGGGGAATCTGTGGTGTACAATTTTATTGTTTCAACTAAATATCTTTACAATGGCAGTCCATGATTCAATGTACATTCCTTCATTACTACTCTAACCTTATTTCAAATTGGTTTGTTCCTCCTTTGTGCTGTATGACCTGTTCTTGTATTACAATAATCCCCTGATGTACCCTCTTTTCTTTCTCTTTTTTTTTTTTTTTTTTTAAAGAAACTAATTGAATTATCTCATTATTTTAATTTGTTAAGCAAATGTATTTTACATCTCAGGATGTGTTCTTAAAGAAGGAGCTGCTTAGGCTTTGCCCCCTGAATGGGCCATTGGTACATTTTGACATTCATGCATTCATTAAGAAAAGGAACATAAAAGAGCTCTGGTTGTATTTTTTTTTCAAACACCCAACCAGCATGGAGCAACTTTTCCATAAGCCACAGGGGTCTCTCTACATATGTTCTCAACTGCAAGCCATTGTCACCTATTCTGAATACCTCAAAAGGACAAATAAAATACTAAAGGCCAACTGTAGCAATTGTTAGCTGTTAGTCTCAATATGACAAAAATCATTAACCTCTAGTTTCCCTGGAAGGAGAGGCAGTTGCAGTCCATCTTCTATGGTGTGGGTTAAACCTGAAATTCCTTTAGACTGTCAAATTCAAAGAGAGTAACTCAGTTCTGACTAATTGTATTTACTTATGATTTTAAATAAAAAGCTATTTTTTTTTTCCTTTATTCAATCAGTTTGCAAACTCCTAAGGTAGCCAATTTTAAAAATTGAATTGCCTAAGTGGCTTTTTTTGAAGAGACAGGCACTTGAACTCTTATGTAGAATGAATGTATCTTACAGCCTGTGTCTTTCAAAACAATTTCTAACCCCTATCATAGCTTCCATTTTGCAGTAACTTTAATTATATTTGAAATAGGATATAGATGCATGTTTTTATTGTTGGAAATCAAATGCAAAGAGTAGGAGCTTCTGTCATGTTCTCATTCACTCACTGAGCTCTGTCTCAGATTTGGAATTACAACAGTACTGGAAGATGAAAGCTCTGAGGATGAACTGGTTAGAAATGTGTATGCGTTTTCTGGATAATATCCAGTATTTAAGAAAGTAGAGGAAATCCTAGTCTGGTAGTATAAGCTTTTCAATAGTACATAAAGATTACAACATCAGAAAGGTAAACCTGACATTAGGGCTTATTTGAGTTCAAAGGTGGTTAAAGAAAAGAAACAGCAAGAAATCTGACCCAAGCCGAGAGTTTATTCATAGCTTTGGAAGACTCCTTCTCCTCTATGCCAAGGAGTCCTTAGTACACTCAATTAGCCTCTCAGACATCTCTGCTTTCCTCCCTCAAGTGCTCCCCTATTTGCCCTGCAAAGAACATATTTGGTCACGAAGCAAAAACAGGAAGTGCTCAAATGTATAGACACCTCTCGCTTTCACCAATGTTGAGATTAGGATTTCTTACCAGCAACTATACAGAGCCAGCCCCCCTCCTCCCATGCCCTTTTGAAGGATGGAGGACCTTTAAAATGTACATACATAATCAGAAGAGAGCAGAGTTATAAAGGAAGTAATTATACTGTTCTATGGACTTGTACCTCTAGTAGTTCATCCCTTTCTGCAGCATAGTGTATCAAGAACTACACTTTTGCTACATTTTTTCCCCTTCTTTTACAGAGCTGGTAGAACAGACGCGTTTGTTCTTTGACACTTAACTGGAGTGATGCCCTTTCCCAAAATTCTATTTCGGTTATTTTTTTTTGTTATAGCCTGTAAGAAGACATATATCTTAACTAAAAGTACCAGATATACCAATGGAAGGCTGAAAACTAACCCTTTTTAATGAAGTGCCAGATTCCCAGCTGATGATATTTGGGATGGCTCCCCTGAAGTCAGTGAAGTCTAGCTGTTTTGGTTTTTTTTTGCTTTTTTTGTTAGCTGAAATTCTGTCTCCTAACATTTGTTTGAACATTGTCATTTTAGCCTGTTTTCCACAATCTTCTGGCTGAAAATCTTACTCTTTACACAGTCTCTTGTAGAGTAGATTTTGGTTTCATCTGCTTCAGTGTCAGGCTTGAGTAAGTTCTGCTGGAATGTGGTAAAATGAACAAGCCACAGCTTTTGTACTTACCTAAATTAATTTTCTTCACTTGCTGTATTCAGGTGGTCAGATTGGATAATATGAACAGTCTTACTGAAACAGATTTTTTTTTTCTGTATTTATGTGGGTGTATCTGAGAATATATAATATATCTCTGCCATATTTTGATGAATGGCTTATCAAGCCTTTTATACAGGGCAGCTATTTTATTTATTCAGTAGATTTGATTCTACATGAATGTCATCAACCAAAGCCGATCTTGGAGCAAGCTTTCAAAACAGTTGAAACCACCTCACCTTCATAAATATCTCCTCCCATATCATGATTTTAGGAATGATACCTAAAGGAGGATTAGGAACATAGCTGGCTATTGCACTCCACACTGAACAGCTTACTTTCATATTAAACAGTAGAACAGCTTTCCTCAGAGTCCTGATCCATGAGAAGCATTCTTCATGTTGCTCTTTTTGCTGTACTTTAAAAAGACAAAAACAAAACAAAAAATACAACAGACCTTTGTCCAATTAAAATGGTGACGGGAAGGCTGGGACAATCAAGAAAACACAGGAATGCGAAGACATTCTGGTGAATTGTAGTGCTTGTGTTGGACTGCATTGTAACATGCTATAAGCTCCCAGGGTACAATGAGGAGACAGACGATGTCCTCTGATTCTCCTGTAAAACGACCTGCATGTGGGTT